GGCTATCAAAAAAGCTGAGCTGCTACGGCGTATCTGGCTGTGCCCTTCACTGGGTATCTGCATTCTTGCAGGGAAGCGAGCACTGTGTACGTGTGGGTCGCAGCTTATTCTTTAGGCAAGCAGTCCTTAGCGGTGTCCCACAGGGCTCGGTCCTCGAACTGATGCCGTTCTCCGTCTATGTAAACGATCTCCCTGGAGAGATTGGGGTATCATCCCTATTTTTTGCCGATGACCTTAAGCTATGGAATGTTGTAAATGTCCCTGGGGGTTCTGTGGCCATACAGCATGCCCTGGACAGACTCTGGGACTGGGCTACTTTGTGGCTACTGCCCATAAATCAGGATAAGTGTTCCGTCCTTCGTATAGGAGCAACTTTCCCACCTTCAAGCTACGTGCTCGGTGGAGTCGAACTTCCGCTTGTCTCCAATTAGGTAGACTTAGGCGTCGTCCATTCCTCTTCTTTGCATTCTAGTGACAATTAGAAGAAGGCCGCAAGTAGGGGTTTCAGAATGTTGTGGCTTATACGCCGTTCTTTCGAGGTTTTAACAGCCGACATATTTGTAAAGCTGTTCTCAGCTTTCGTTTGGCCCCATCTGGATTACTGCGCCCAGACTTGCTCGCCCTGCCTTGTTCAGGACAAAATGGAGTTCGAGGGTGTTTTGATAGTAGGTACCAAATTGGTCTAGGGGTTACGGAGCAATCGTACCCCGAGCATCTGCTTAGCTTGGGTATGTATTCAACGCACTACCGACGGCTTCGAGGGAACCTAATCCTTACTTACCGCATTTTGTCAGGGAAGGTTGGATCAGACTTGAGCTAGGTTGCCTTGTCTTCGTGGCAGTTTGCCAATAGACTCTCCATACGTTGTTCGTCGATATTCCTTCTTACTAGGTGGTTGTCCAGCCGCCTACGTTCCTAATGAGAAGACAGATTGAGAGGTGACTTAATATAGACGTTCAAAATCATGAAAGGTATCAGTGGTCTCAAGCCTTTCAGTCTGTGTGAGCCAGCTGCGTCAGACAACTTGCAGAGCCATTGCATGAAATTGAAGCAGCATAATACTAGGCTGGAGTTAAGAGCCAGGTTCTTTGCAAACCGAGTTGTGCCTGTTTGGAATGAAATTCCTTCTCATTTACATTTCGAGCATTATGCGCGTTTCACTGAACTCGCTATGGGTAGGCAGAGAAATGTGCTCATTTACAACCGTGAGGAACCGGTAATACGAGAGGCTAAGACCAGGTGTGCCTTGGCTAGAAGGCGTGTTCAGGACATACTTCGCATTGTCGGTATATCACCGCTCGTTGGCATCAAAAGGATCCATAGTGTTGGTAGTTGGAAGACTGTAAGTGTGCTGCACGCGAGGGGCCTTACAAAGCCGATTTTGGTAGCGTTTAAAAATCCGTTTTCTCGTGACGTACTCAACCGAGCGGGTCTATTGAGTGACCGAACAAATGTCCGATATCAGGTGGCACCCGATACGTTCGCTTCCAGAACCAAAACCAACCCATTCTTGACTCTAAATAATACTAATTTCGGTTCTCTTTTGTCAGCTAACAGCGGCCTCAGTCAAAGAAATCCGGTTGCATCTTCTCTAACGGAAATTATTATAAGTGGAGCTCCTGGTCGTCTTCCCCAAACGATTGTTGTTACCTGCTTCCATCTCGCCTTTCCACAGAGCGCAACTGGATCACAGCTTAATATTCGGGAGGTTGCTACAAAAATACCGCTCTTGCATGACTCCATTGTTTCGTCATTGATGAATTTGGTCCCTGCAGAAATTCAGGTTGCAAGTGAGCTATCGACAACGACTGCAGCGGCTGTTTCAGTGGCAACGGAAACGAGTTCTCCAGCAGCCGTGATTAGTTCAGGAGCCGAGCTTAAAGGAATGCCTTCTGACAACTCGTCCAGGCGTGAAAAATCACCTCAGCTAGCTGCAACGGCGGGATCTGTGTTCCATAGGGCCAGGTTTGCCCGCCGTAGAATTAAAAGACGTGTTGTGACCGGGGTCACCGAAGCCACTAGCGCAGGCGACGTCAGTAGTACTCTGCCTCCGTGAGCTCATGTAATATTCCCAGTCAAACTTAATGAAAATGTGGCAAAATTCTAGGTACCCCTTTGGGTTCTACGCCCGAGGGGAACTTTAAAAGTGCGGCTGACAGCGCAGAACACATGCGGCAAACGCCGCTGCATGTTTGGAACACAAATTCTTTTAGCGTGAGGAACAAGTGGGGGAGCTGGCGATGAGTTGTAGATCTACCGATGTTATTGCGATCATAGAGACCTGGCTCTCGCCAAATGACTCAGTAAATCATTACCTGTTGGTCTACTTCGTCGGGTATAGAATAGGCCGTCTTGGGTATCCAAATGGGGGTGGAATACTTTCACTTATAAGGTGTCACTACAGTCACTAGGAAGCTCCGTTTACCATGTGCTCGCAAAATGTTTAAATTACTTGTTTTCTGAGGGTGCAGGGTAAAGTTGAATTAATTGTTTGTGTCTGTCGCAGTCCGTCCACAACGTGAGGAGAGGACAAGGAGCTTAGTGATCTACTAAAATGAACTGCGCCTTCTGCTCCAAGTTTTGTGATTGTAAGCGACCTGAATCTACCACATGCCGACTGAAAGCATGCTCTCAATAGGGCGGACTCCTTGGAGTATAACTTGGTACAGAGGGTACACGAAAACGCCCTTGTGCAGCACGTCAGTTTTCCAACAAGAAGTCGTGGCGAGAGCATCCCCTCTTCCTTAGATGTTGTGGTCACTAAGTATGGTTGCTTGCCAGCCATAAATGTTGAGCCTTCTATAAATAAGAGCGACCCTTTCGTTCTTTCCTCCATTTGCTTACCGAGGCTCTCGGCTGAATCCTGACTGATGCGGAAACTAAGCCGGATTAATACGTTTCTGAGGGATAGAGCCGCACTCATTATCTGGGTTCTTGAACAAGAGGAAGCAACGCTGGAACAGAGGTGGCACGTGCTCCAAAGTGGCCTCACGCAGTTGCTGGAGGAGTTCACTCCCCCTGTGCAGGCGCCATTCAGATAAGCCTCGCTGGTGGTACCGACGTATTGTTCGGGTATTGAAACGTCGGATTATTCATTGGAAAAGCTATCATGAGTCTGGTGGTTTCCGCAGGTAGCTTGAGTATAAAAAAAGTAGAAATTTGGCGGTCAAACTACAGAGACAAGCCAAATACTCCTATCAGTTTAGGCTGGCGCCAAGCGCAAAATAGTACCCAAAGCATTATTACAGCTATGTTCATGTTAAAGCTTCTTTAAGGGAAATAGTTGGCAATTTAATCACAGAAGATGAGCAACCGACTACTGGAGACCTTGATAAGGTGCAAGAGTTGTGTGTTTTCCAGAGAGTTCATCGAGCGGACAGTGGTTTTTCAATACCGTTGTCTTCGCATCGCGTGAGTGCAAAATGGACGAAATCATCATAACTGCTTCAGATGTCTTCTCTGTATTGAAGGACTTAAACCCATACAAATCACCTGGCCCCGATAATGTGCATCCCGCTATTGTTAAGCTGATTGCCGACATACTTTAGTTTCCTATTCTTGCATTGTACAACCTGTCTCTTCGTGAGTGGAGGATACCACAGGATTGGAAAGAAGCGATTGTAGTGGCGTTTCATAAGGGTGGTACTAAATCTTCATCCAGTAACTACCGACCTGTTTGTCTGACTAGCGTTCTTCTCATGTGTCTAGAGAAGATCATCAGGACTCGAATCTGTGAACATCTTGCTGCTAATAACTTGATCGGAGCAAAACAGCATGACTTCGTCAAGAAAAAGTCATGTCTTACCAACCTGCTGTTTCTCCTTGATGAAATAACTCGATGATGGCATACCAGTAGAAGTATATTACCTTGACTTCACTAAAGCATTTGACTCGGTGAATCACCGTTTCGTGTTAGAAAAAATGTCCTGGTTTGGAATCCCACCTCAACTGTTTGCCTACATTCCTTTATGGCAGGACATTCCGTGTCAGGGTTGGTGACGTTATTTCAACGGCAGGCACTGCTGACAGTGGAGTTCCCCAGGAATCATTACTCGATCCGTTGCTATTTCTCATGTTTATAAATGACTTGGTCCCTCTACTTGAAGATCCCTCCTATATGTTTGCTGACGATTTGAAGCTTATTAGCAGGGGAGATGGGGTTTCGTTATCTAGAGATTTTGCTACCGTTCTTAATTGGTCACATTTGTGGGATTTACCACTGAACATCAGCAAATGTCAAATCCTAACCCCGCGTGATGAAGAGTTTACAGTGCATATATCCAATTGGTCCCTAACACTGCAGTATGTCACCGAGGCACGTGGTCTAGGTGTCATCGTGACGAGTGACTTTAAGCCCTCGGCGCAGTGCACGCATGCGGCTAATAAAGCGCGACAGGAGTTATTTCGTCTCAGGAGAGTTCTGAGTTGTACCAAACCAGAGGTCTTTCTTCCCTTGTACAAAGCTGTGATCAGGCCCCATCTGGGATAATGTGTTCAGGCATGGGCACCCTACCTGCAGAAAGATATTATTTGTATTGAGAATGTGCAAAGACTGGCCACACGAATGATAGAAGGCCAGCGCGGGTTACCGTATGAAGATCGGTTAGCTAACTTGGGTTTGTTCTCAATGAGAAGACGCAGATTGAGAGGTGACTTAATAGAGACGTTCAAAATCATGAAGGTCTCAGTGGTCTCAGGCCAACCGATCTGTCTTAACCAACTACGTCAGACAACTTGCGGGGTCATTGCATGAATTTGAAGCAGCAGAGATCTAGACTGAAATTAAGAGCCAGTTTGTTTACAAACCGGGTTGTGCCTGTTTAGAATAAACTTTCGTCCGCTCTGTTAGCATGCGAAACTGTGGAGAAATTTAAACGTAGCCTAGACAAACATTGGTTGGCACTGTTTCCCGAGCTTCAGTGACTGCCCCTAATCTCATTACTTCATGATAGTGTGTTGTTCGTCTTGCACTTGCCTGCTTTTTTCACTATTATAGTATTAACAATATTCTACCAAATCGCAGTGCTGGGGGCTCTTTTTTGCTTACTGGCACACGAAACGGGACACTCGTTAAGCGGTGGCTTGTTTCGTCCCTGGATCCTGTCCTGCTTTCCATAGCGGGTCTTCCGGTCTATTGCGATCTCCATCTGGTGACGAATACGGAGGAACCTACCACCCTGAGCAGGATGGATATTACCTATTTGGCGACCCTGCCAGGATCTTGTTCATAATTCCGTAAGTAATAGAAAAGTCAACTGATGTGCCTGCTAAAGTTGCAGAAGCGGAGCTGTCTTCTATTCTGACAAAGTTGTCAGGTATCTTGGAGAACCTAGCTTGTCGACCTATAGTTGTCCAAAATCTTCCCGCATTTCCCCCTCCGAAACAATTTTCTGTTGGCATGCACTACCGCAGATGGGGGAGGCAAGCTTTGGCGTACATCCTGAATTTCCCAGAGTCCATGCGAGGAAACATATTGCTGGGATTACTGGAAGATGAAGATTTCGACATTGTGGCCGATAGCAAAATATTGGAGAAAGAAATTAACGCATCTATCTTTGAGGAGCTCGCGTGGCTCTTGAACTTTCCACTGCTTCCTACGGAATGGCGCCAAGCATTCCACTCTCGTTAGCAAAAACCGGACGAGAGCCTGAGAGCTTTCTTTCAAGGTCTTAAACGCCTTGCTGTGCGCGCATTTGCGGATGAACATTGGGGAGTGCAAGAGAAACGTATTCCGGAACAGTTGACAGAGGGAGTGTATACGCCGTCTTAAATGCGAGTTCTTGTTACACCCACGACAACAATTAGACGATGCTCTGGAATTAGGGGGAGAAACGAGCGCGTGGATGCGGCTATGGGTGCGTCATTGAGCAGCGCTGAACGGAAGGAGTCTCTCATCAACCGCCATGCTGTCGAACTGACAGAAACCCGCAACAAACTGATACGCGCTGCAGGAATCTGGGGGAAACTGCGAACCTTCGTGAGCACAAACAACGGACTGGGTCTAGAAAGTGCTCCTTCACTGTACCAGCCGTGTCCAGCGCGCATTGTGTAGCTGTTCCCCTCGTGTTTGGGTTTATGTAGAACAAACGTGTCAAAATGCTGGTTGATACGGGAGCTACATGCTCCCTAATTCAAAAACGTATCTTCCCAGCTGATGCAAGCATCTTCCTGGACAGTTCGGTGAACCTGGTAGCAGCCAACAAGACCGCCATTAAACCCTTAGGTTGGACTACAGCCACAATAAAGTTAGGAGGAATATCCGCCGCACATCGTTGTTTTATTGTGAATTACCTTTCTTGGGAAGTAGTTAGAAGTCGTTTTCCTTTCCCGTTTTAAAGCTAAACTTAATTTGACCAGCAAAACCTGGGTAATCAACAATCAACTACTGTCATTCCTTTTTGCCTACAGTCCGGTGATGGCTTGCACGGTAGAAGAGACGCCTGTACAACGATTCATTCGAGATATTTCTTCAGTGCTACCGATTTTTACCGGAAGTGAATTGAAAGACATTTTAGTAAAATACCAACACGCCTTTGCTTGGTCAGAGGACGATATCGGGCGGTGCAACTTTTTACAACACCGCATCGACATTGACAACATAACACCGACTCGACAACCAGCTAGACGGGTGCCCCTTCAATTTCAGGAAGAATTAAAACATTACTGAAGACATTTTGCGACGCGATACCATTCGACCGTCAAAATCGACTTGGGCATTGCCCATCGTTCTTGTCAAAAAGAAAACCGGTGAACTACGGCTTTTTGTAGATTATCGAAGTTAAATTCTGTGGCTCAAAAGGACTCTTTTCCGTTACCGGGAATGGATGATACAATAGACGCCCTGAGTGGCTCACCTTTGTTTACTACCTTGGACCTGGCTTGAGGTTGTTGGCAGGTGGAGCTACACCAGGACGACAGGTGTAATTCTGCGTTTATTGTCCCGTCCGATCTTTACGAATTCCAGACCATGTCGTTTGGATTAACAAATGCGCCCGCAACTTTTCAGCGCCTAATGCACACAGCTTTGGCAGAGTTGATACCGAGACACACTAGTTTACATAGACGATATCATTGTGCACGGCAGGACTGCAGAAGAACACAGAACCTCATATCCGTATTGGACCGCCTATTGCAGCTGGGATTCAAACGTAAGCCCTCGAAGTATCAGTTCCTAGGGGAAGAACTAGTCTATTTAGGTCACATCGTGTCTGGAGAAGGAGTGCGCTGCGTCCCGGCAAAGGTCGATGGGGTTCGCTTATTGCCGGATCCAAAACACGCTGACGGAGTACTTAGCTTCCTCGGCCTTGCCTCTTACCATCAGCGTTTCGTCCGACAGTTTTCCAATATCGCTTGTCTGTTGAGTGATCTTCTGAAGATTGATCAAGCTTTCATTTGCTGGAGTGCACAATAAGAAGTTTTTGAGACGCTCCAAACTTCACTGTGTGAACGGCCAATTTTCACCTTCCCTGATACGCGTCCATCCGCTGGCCCTTTTCATTTTGGTCACGGATACCAGTGACACTGGCATTGGAGCTCTACCCTCCCAACGCACGGCGGAAGGAATGGAACCGGTTATCACCTATGCGAGCAGAACTCTCTCACAAAGAGAGCGCAATTAGTGCACAATGCGAAAGGAAATGCTGGCACTTGTGTTTTTCATCAAGCACTTGAGACACTATTTCCTCGGCCATAAGTTCACTGTGCCTACTGACTACTAATCATAGACCTGACTCCAAAACTTTCGAAACCCAGAGGAACAGATTGCCTTTTGACCGGAGCATATGCAGGAATACGACATTGAATGTCAGCACCGTCCGGGCACAAAGCATGAGAATGCCGACGACTTATTCCAAAGGCCTGTCAGAGATCACTTACCATGTCCATCTTGCACTGCTGCTTGCGTAGCTGCCGTCATCTTGGACGCCCCGGAGACAGAGGAATGGATTCGGTTGCAGTCGATGGACCTGATGCTGAGCCTTTTGGATAACCGCATCGTCCGGGGTGAGCTGGCAGGCGCCAGTTGGGAAACCAAATGCCCATGGTCTCTAAGGCCGCAATTACGCGTGACCGATGGTGTCATGTATTTCCAAAACGGACCGGCTTATTTGCTAAGAATTGTTGTGTCAGCTTCCGCAACGCAGGAAGTGATGCGAAAGATCCACGAGGAATTAGGACACGCAGGTAAGAATAAGATGGAGGCGGCAATTCGACGTCGGTTCTGGTGGCACATCTAAGGCGCGATGTCGCTATATAATGCCATCTGTGCGCTAAATGTCAAAGAATCGAAAAACCCCTCTACCCTTCATCGTGGTCTACTGCAGCCAATGACGGCCGGCTTTCCGAATGAGATCGTAAGTATAGATATTGTTGGTCCGATGTCGAAGACTCCTAGACGCTTACTGGTTAAGATGGACTACTTCACCAAATAGTGTGAAGCAGTCCCTCTTCAAAATATAGACGCATGGAGTGTGGCAGTAGCGTTCTATATAAACATAACTATATATGTATATATATACATATATGTATATGGCGTTTTATTAATCTGGCCCGGAGCTAGGAACGGTTGCACTCTGTTGCCGACGTCCACCGGTACGCCGAATTGCTAACTGTCTGATGGTGCACATTGCTTTACTGGCAGGGGTGAGATGAGACACAGAGGCGCGACATGTGTGCCTACGATCGCAGGGCACACCGAGCCGTTCGGCTGTGAGAGGTGAACGTTAACAAACACCACAGCCTCAATCGACCTATCATGCGTGGATCGCATGGCAAGACCAATGGAACGCACGTCGTTCGGCTGTGAGAACTGGACGTTAGCCAGATACCACAGCTGCAATGAATGCGTCATGCCTCGACCGCATGACAAGACCTAGGGAACGCACGCCGTGAGAACTGTGACGTTAGCCAGACACCACAGACGCACTGAACGTGTCATGCTTCAATCGATCGGTAGTCGGCCTTCACGCAAGTGAAAAGCCAGCAAATGGGTTTCCTGCGAAGTGATTAGTGGGTCGCTGTGCTAGCAAAGGAGAAAAACAGCCTGGCCGTATGTGATGACCGGTCGATGGGCGACGTATTGCCATCGCTACAAAAGCTGTTATCGCCTCACGACTAGCTATCAACAAACCCGTAAACTGTTATTGGGCTGCTTTCGCTGCTAAAGGGTATCATACTGTCAGGAGCACATTGTAAGGTTACAGTGTTGCTCGATTTACCGTCTTGATCTCGTGTGTTACAGTTGAAAATTCACCCTTCATGGGCGCATAAAAAAGAAATTCTTGACTTGACTTGATGTGACAACGCTCTTAGATTTCACTCTGCCCGATGCAATGGTAGCACAATTAGACAGCATACCAATTTAATACTGAATAGAACGATTGCCCTCACGGTCAGACAATTTTGCTAGTTGTACAAATTGATCAGGCCTTCGATGGTGTGTCCCATGTACAATCGAGAATATGCATTTATTCATTTCTTTAATTATTTTTTATGGCATATGTGAAATGCCTGTAAATCTCAACAAATTAGCTGTTCGAAAGGCCCTACGTCGTTTTGGCTACACTGGAGCATTCGCTAAATGGTGTCGGCAAGCACTTTCTGCAATGTCTCGAACGAAATCTGCACATTCGACGCAATCTGTCCGCCTACCTGCACGAAACATTCGGTCGACGTTGCATCGGTCACAGATGACCGATAGAATGGCCTGCGCGATTACCGGATTTGAATCCCATGCACTTCTTCCTTTGGGGATACTTGAAGCGCAGAATTTGAAACCCGACAACATGGATGAACTGAAAGAGAACATTGTGAACGAAGGTAGCAGATTTCGTTCGAGACATTGAAGAAAGTCTTCACTAACACCATACAGCGTATGCTCCTCTGTAACCAAAACGACGGAGGGCACTTCGAACAGCTAATTCGTTGAGATTTACAGACATTTCACATATTCCATATAAGTAAAGATTGTACATGGGACACACCATCAAAGGTCTGATCAATTTGTACAACTAGCAAAATTGTCTGACCGTGAGGGCAATCGTTCTATTCAGTATTAAATTGGTATGCTGTCTAATTGTGCTACCATTGCATCGGGCAGAGTGAAATCTAAGAGCGTTGTCACATCAAGTCAAGTCAAGAATTTCTTTTTTATGCGCCCATGAAGGGTGAATTTTCAACTGTAACACACACGCGATCGAAACGATAATTCGAACAACACTGTAACCTTACAGTGTGCTTCTGACAGTATGGTTCCCTTTAGCAGCGAAAGCAGCCTAATAAAAGCTTACGGGTTTGTTGGAAGCCAGTCATGAGGCGATAACAGCTTTTGTGGCGAGGGCAACACAGCGCCAATCGACCGGTCATCACATACGGCCAGGCTGTTTTTCTCCTTTGCTAGCACAGCGACCCACTAATCACTTCGCAGGAAACCCATTTGCTGGCTTTTCACTTGCGTGAAGGCCGACTACCGATCGATTGAAGCATGACATGTTTAGTGAGGCTATCTGGTGTTTGTTAACGTTCACCTCTCACAGCCGTACGGCTCGGTGTGCCCTGCGATCGTAGGCACACATGTCGCGCCTCTGTGTCTCATCTCTCCCCTGCCGGTAAAGCAATTTGCGCCATCAGACAGTTAGCAATTCAGCGTACCGGTGGACGTCAACACCTGAGTACAGCCGCTCCTAGCCCCGGACCAGATTATTAACACCATTTACTTATATCAAGCGACGTCTGTCCATCAGCGACAAGGAAGAAGTGGTGCTCCAGCTTTTCGACGAGTGAAAAACAAATCCACTACTGAGTATTGGCAGAAATTAAAGCGTCTGATGCGCATCCATTGCGAATTTAGACCAGCATCAGAGGATGAGGCAAGTAGTTTTGACAGAGAAGCCTGATACTTGGCTAAAATCTCAGGATGCTGCAGATTTTCGACGTTCGGTCGGTAGTGCGTACGTCTGGATGATCCTGCGAAACGCATGCAAATTTTGGCGCGAACCAGTGCGTGATCGGCGTCCAGACAATTGCACCAGTACGGTCGGTCATCTGTAGCTTATTGCTATGTGGTCAAGCTGGGACTATTCTTGTGTTTGAGAAGGCGGACGCCAGGTAGCAGTGTCTTTTCGTATGACGAATACTGCGCCTGCCCTCGGATTTTCTGCTGCCGACATCACACCATGAAACCCTAACCGTTTCGGAGCATGTACTTCGGTTAGTCATGTCTGTTACGAGCACACCAGATGGCACAAGCGCACCTTCAAACCTCGCAGCATCAATAGAAGACTTACTTTGACCGGGAAGTTTTCGGGAGTCCTTTCAAGTCTGGTGATACGGTCTGGCTCAAAGCAACAGTAACACCACCAGGCGTCCCTTCGAAGCTCCGTCGAAACTGGGAAGGACCGTTTATTTGTGGAAGTAGTGTTGTATATAACTTATCAAATCATGAGGCCGGGGTACCCTGTTTCCTCAACGGTTGTACACTTCAACAGGTTGAAGCCAGCTAGGTGAGTCGCAGGCGCTGAGGACAACACCAGTTAGAAGGGGGAGCAATGTAACGCGACGCGCCGTGTTGTTTTAACACCCTCTCGGAACCGGCACTTTTTTCTCTCCTCGTGATCTTGACTGCGGACGCGTGCTCTTGCGCTCGGTCGCATTTAGCTATTCGATTACTTTTCGGTGTCTGCTTGCCAACAGACTCTCAATACGTTATTCGTCGACATTCGTTCTTACTAGGTTGTTGTCCAGTTTTCTACATTCTCTCTGTTTTCCATTGCAGGTCTTCCGGTCTATTGCGACCTCCATCTGTTGACGAATACGAAGGAACCTACCACTCTGCGCAGGACGGATATTACAACACCGTGTTCGCGATGGCTCCTCCCGACTACAAAGTTGGTAGGTTGATACCCTCTACTATATGACATTATTGCGTTTAGCTGATATTTCGCTCGCCGATTGGGGTCGTAAGGCAATCGACATTGCGGAAAACGAAATGCCTGGGCTTATGATGTTGCGCAAAATGTACGGGGGTTCGAAACCTCTCAAGGGTGCTAGAATCGCGGGCTGTTTGCATATGACCATTCAGACAGCTGTGCTGATCGAAACTCTCTTGGAACTCGGCGCATCTGTTCGCTGGTCTTCGTGCAACATATTTAGCACCCAAGACCACGCCGCAGCGGCTATGGCCAAAGCAGGTATTCCTGTTTTTGCTTGGAAAGGAGAAACAGATGAAGAGTATGTTTGGTGCATAGAGCAAGTAAGTTATTACGCGGCATCATTTTATCTTTCTAGACCCTTGTCTTCTCAGATGGGCAGCCTCTTAATCTAATTCTTGATGACGGGGGAGACCTTACGAATTTGGTTCATACAAAATTTCCGCACTACCTTGCTGGTGTTAAAGGAATTTCTGAGGAGACGACCACTGGTGTACATAACTTGTACAGAATGTTTCGCAACAACAAACTTCTTTGTCCTGCGATTAATGTTAATGACTCCGTAACAAAGGTAACGTCCGATCCTACCTTACAGCTTTTTCAGAGTAAATTTGACAACTTATATGGCTGTCGGGAGTCACTTGTTGATGGCTTAAAGCGTGCGACTGACATTATGCTTGCCGGAAAAGTCGCCCTTGTTGCTGGCTATGGAGATGTCGGTAAAGGTTGTTGTCAGTCTCTCCGGGCCTATGGCGCTCGAGTTTTGGTCTCCGAGATTGATCCTATCAACGCTTTACAGGTGAACACTGGTTGTTGTTATCGATTATCACGTCCGCCACTCTTTTATACCGCACAGCTGTCTTTTAATAGCCCAAGCACTTTCAAACTATCTATTGACCATGTTCTCCAAAGCCGAGGTTAAAAGGCAGCAGTCACTAAATGTCTTCATTTGCAACCAATTGACTTGAAAACCCTTGGATTGATTAGCTTGCTGTGTGCAGTCCATCCAGCACCTTGTCCATTAATAGGTTGTTTCCTACACGCGTGCTCATCTGATTCCTATATTGCATTTCTCACGGACTAATAATATGCTGGCCCACCGACGCCTTCCGGAAAGAACATCCCTGGGATTTATATCTACTGTTTTAACTTGCTAACTTACTGCCTTCTGGCTAGGTACGATTGTTGTTATAGCCCGCTTGTCTGATAGACCTTTGGCTTCTCAACTTTTAGAGATGTTGTGTCATCCTCATCATTATTGTACACGTTAGCTGCAGGTGGAAAACACCTCAGCTGTTTTGCCGCAATACAAAACTAAACAAACATACAACGTAGTCACGCCGACTGAGTCACCAATAACAGATGGACACCGTTCCGGAGAGCAAACAGCCGGGTATAGTACCGCAAAACAGCTATCTTATGCCTAATAATTGAGACCGTGGTTGGAGAGGGAGGCTAAGCGGTAGCTGGAGGAACAAAGGAACTCACAACACAAACGCCTTTGAGGTCGGCTCCTAGTCATGTCAGCAAGTGTATCCAGATGTTGGATGTATTAGATTGCTGATGACATTATGACAATAGCTGCTTTCTCTGTGCCTGTAGGTTGTATCCTGCTTCTTAGGATGATGCAGACCTCCGTTTTTTGCTTTTCAGTGATTGCAATTTATTTCAAGCTAAACACCCATATCTCATTCGTTTGTCAATTTAACACTATAGCTGTAATTATTGGGTGTCTTTAAAACATACGGTAAAAGATTACGAGTTGCCGAATGACAGTATCTTGTTTTCAATTTACCCTCTGCTAATCTTTTTTATTAGCTTATGGATAACATGTTTTACTTCGCTTTTCGTCTCCAAAATTTTGCCTTATTTGTTACTCGGATGGTGTCTTCGTTTCGACTTATGCAGCTGCACACATTTGCAGAAGAACCATGAGTAACTTTGCCGGCATTTCTTGTAGCCCATCAACACATCCTGCTTGCGTTGTAGCTCGCGAGGAATACTGAGGTACTGCGGTCGTATCTCAGCAACTTGTTTTAAAGCCAATCGATCTGCATGCCATACCTGCTTATGATAATGTTTCGACCTTTACCTGACTCATGATTGGACCACCTTTTGAGCGTCCGTCTCAAGGATACTGGACCATAACGTGGTGCGACTGTTTTCGTACCTCGTTGACCCCTTGAGCTATACACTGGGCGGTGCTTCCGGATCCTTTGAGAGCTACTCCCACCTGGTTGGCCACTGGTTAGAGATCAGATGAACTCTTGGTCCTCCAAGTTGGGTTTGCAATGGGATGGCACCCATTTCTGTACAACTGAATCATTGCGTTATCTGCGAAGCATTGCTGGTGTCGGATGGCACCCGCGTGTCCGCAACGCTGCTGTGCATAGGCGAGTACTAGGTAGTGATAAACCTGCTAGCTCCCCAGAACAACAGATAGCACTGAATAAGTTGCGTTGGCTCGGGCACGTGCTACGTATGTCTGGTCACCGCTTACCTAGAAGGGCCTCGTTTACTCTGCCAGGTGTTATTATTATTATTATCTCAGCAGTCTATCGACTAGACAAAGAGCCAACAGAAAACCATGGAGATCAGCGGATAAGGAAGAGTCCTCGCTTCATAATCATCGTGGCATGGTAGTTGAAGGTGAGCGACACATTTCAGCTAATATGCCGCAGGAATAATGGAACATTTTGACAAAAAGTGGGACAAAACATTTTTAGTTTGTTTTTCCCACGCCGATTTTTCTCTTTTTTGTCATTTTCAATGTTTGTAGTATTAACATGTGAATCAATACAATAATGTACACAATTCTTCCACTGATTCCCTGCTGCGGGCCATGTCTTCAAGAGTGCTAAGTCATTGGCACTCCTCATCTTGGGTCCCCATCCTGTAAGACGTACGGATCCAACAGCGGCTAGACACGATGTTAGCGATTTCATGTGCTGCCGCTAAATGAAAGGCTGACCACCACGCAGTCGCCTCCAGCCAGGTCCTTGACGAGCGAATAGAGCGCGACGCGGTAGACGCTCAGTGCCATGCGTAGGACGTGACCGAGCCATCTTAACTGGCGCAACAAAACCAGTTTGTCGAAGGGAATACGTCATTACTACCAATTTGATGTTGCCACCAAACACGAGCGATCCTCCTTAAGCAACCGTTGTCGAAGACAGAAAGACGACGCATGTCTTCCACGCGAATCGGCCAGGACTCGCACCCATACAACAATACTGAGCGAACTGATGCGCTGTAAACGCGGTCCTTTAGTGAGAATGGGACGTCGCGACGACGTCACAAGTGCCTCAGGTTGACAAATGCTGATCGAGCTTTAGAGATACGAAGTCATCCTCATACACGTTAGCTAGAGGCGGGGAACACCTCAGCTGCTGCGCCGCAAGAAGAGAAACTTCTTTGTTGATACTGTTGTCAGCAGAAACATAGCTCCCAAGATAGACGAAATTATCTACCTGTTCAAGTTGTGCACCTTCGAGAGTGAGCACGGGAGCAGGTGAAAGCCAATCCTTGAACACTACTTTACACTTCGATGGGGCGAAGCTCATGACATACTTAGATGCTTCAACCGCCAAACGATACAGAATGAGTTGCATGCCCTGAGGATCGTCACCAAGTAAGGCGATATCATCAGCATAATCTAAGTCGGTCGTGCGCTCACCCGGTAGAAGCTCTAGGCCAAAATGTTGGAAACCTTTTAGAGCATTCGACAGAACGTCTTCGATTGCGAAGTTGAAGAGGAATGGGGACATAGGGCAGCCCTGTCGCACACCGCTATTGACAGCGAATTGCGAAGAAAGCTTGCCATAGACCCTCACTCTGCCGGATGTATGAAGGTAAATTGCTCGTAAGATGGCGGTATATTTCTCTGACACCCCGTTCTTTAGCAAGCAACACCATAAAGCAGGTCGATCAACGGAGTCAAAAGCGGAACGTATGTAGGGGAATGCAACGATAGTGGGCCAGTGATGAATGTGGCGATGTTCGAGAAGCTGGCGGAGCGTGAGGATTTGATCCACGCATCCGCGGCCAGGACGGAAACCAGCTTGTTCTTCACGGTAGTATGATTCACGTACTGGGGATAGTCTGCGAAGCAGAATGGATGTCAATAGCTTAGAGGAAACCGAAATAAGACTAATCCCGCAATGATTTGCACATGAAGTGCGAGCGCCTTTCTTGAAAATTGGGACAATAACTGATTCGCCCCAAGAGGAAGGCACTTTCTCTTCATGCCGAATTTTTTGCGAACAGCGTGGTCAGCTGGTCAATGATCGCCACACCACTGTACTTGAATAGCTCCGGAGGAAGTTCGTCTAAGCCGACAGGTTTGAAACGCTTCAAGCGTCGAATCTCGAGGCATACTTCCGCTTCGCTGCGTAGATTCAATGGGACGAGCCAGGGTGGACAACGAGGTGTACTGCATGTACTGATGGATGGTAGAGGCCAGTTGAACTGCAACTGAAAGTGCTCGGCCCAGCGGTCCATACGCCTCTGTTGGTTGGTGATCGGAAACTCATCCACCTCACAAATAACCTCACTGACACCAGGCTTCCTGAGGCCAGTGAACCGAATGAGTTGGAAAAGCCTGCGAGTGTTGCCAGAGAGGACAGCGGTCTCCATCTCTAAAGCACGCTCAGATCACTATGTCTCGCGATCCTTGCGTAGGTTTTGTTTGAGCAGCCGGTTAGCAGAACGGCACCGCTCGTTTCAGTCTGATTCCGCTGGGATATCTTTGTGACGTTCGAACAGCTCCAGAGAACGAGCAGATACCCAAGTCTTCAAGGGGCGTCGTGCTAGGCCGCAGCATGACTGTCCGAAAATGGTCATCGCTTCCGTATACAAGTCCAGTGTTTTTCCACTTCTTGCGGTGGATTGCAACTGAGTGCATATGCCATTGAAGACTGATAGCTCGCCGGAGCTGAGAAATCGGTTAATCTGTTTACATAAATCTTGCGGTGCTTCGTGTTTCTGGATCCTCCAAAACACATAGAGATTTTCGCGCAGATTAGAGCATGATCTGAGTCAACGAAAGTGGACTAAAAGGACCTGCAGTCCAGTACGCTGCCGCGCCATCTGAAGCTAATTGCAATATGATCAATTTGAGACCACGGTTGTGTTGGCGAAGGGGGACGCCACGTTGCAGAGCGCTTCTTCGTATGCCTGAAGTTGGTGCTCGAAAGAAATAGACGGTTGTCTTCGCACAATGTGAGAAGTCTCTCCGTTATCAGAGCGGTTCGCATCGAGCGCGTGATGACCACCAAGTTGGCGTTCGTATGTTAACAAGCGGCCCACCCGTGCATTAAAATCCCCAGCAAGGATAACGACATCCGACTTTTTAGCATTAGTCAAGAGCTGTTGTAGATCCCGGTAGCATTCGTCCTTGACCGAGTCGCCACTGCAGTCATTTGGAGCGTACACGGAGATCACAAACAAGTTGTGTCTCACTTCGCGGTGCATGTTGATTCTACATGAACCCCCGAAGCCGAACTGCACATAGTCGGCTGTTAATCGGGAACCAGTCCAGTAGTGCCGCCTCTGCCTTGCCACTTAGTGCTATACCTACACCAGCCAAACCCGCTGAGGCTGCTTCTGGATCTCCAGAAAGACGCTGGTGATATCTGGCTTCGTGATCAGTGGGGGATGTCAATGTAACCACAGTGCTGGGATTTTGCAATCGGATTTTGGAATAGCAGCAGACATCAAGGTATAGGGCATCTAGGGTGCGCGTTAGACCGACTTGCTGTCCATTCTGCATGAGTGTCCGAACGTTGAAGCACGCCAGAC